ATTTGTTGGAAAACAGATTTTTCATAAAACATTTATAAATGTATATTTTATGGAAATGAACAATAAACTGTCTTCTCTAAACATTCTGTGTTGACTTCTTTGAACTTGATTGCATGTCTTAAGGGTTAATAAAATCTTTAGAGGTTAATCTAAAGCTGTGAATCAAGGCCAGTGTGCTAAATGGTAGTCAAACATACAGTACACCGATAAACTGTACTGACATGTTGTCTGTATGTTTAGTAGATGGCTGGCAAAATTAAGATTAATTAAAATATTAAGATTACCTTATGTGATTCATAAAATAAATTAGCGCCCTTTAATTTTACTTGGCTTTTTTTACAATGCTCACACAATGCTTACTTGTTCATACATACAATATACAAAACTGTTGAGCAAACCCTCCATTAGAAATGTATGAATCATAAATAAATTATGAGAAATCAATACATATACATTATCTTACTCTCAAGTTTATTTTTTCACTTAATCAATTTTTCATAACTGTGACATTTAAATTTTACATACCAGCTATTCATGCAGTATATGCTAAATCTGTAAAAAAAAAGGGTTCTCTGAAGGAAAAAAAAAAAGTTTTGTTTGACTAACAAAGGTATTGGGAGAAGAGGTGTGCTAAAAACAACAAAATGCATATACATTTCAATTTAAGAATACCGTATCTGCTAATGATATAATAAACGTGAGCATTATTTTCCCATTCTGTTTGGCACACACCCTGTCCTCAACTTCAGCTTTGGAAAAGCCATCTTAAAGGCTAGAAGGTAGTTTTATTTATTCATTTTCCAAACCATTCTCAATGTTTAAAACACGAATAAGATAAAGAGTAACTATTCCGCCCCCAAAGCTTATTTGAATGTTACATACAGTAGCAAAATGAGTAGGCCTGTTGAGGTATAACTAAACATTTTAGTGCCAACAAAATATAGTGTGATCATTTCAATCTGACCATTGTTATTGCAAAAGAAATGTAAATATACTGCCGACCAATAACAAATATTAGTGCTACAGTATATTTAGATGAATGAGTTTTTCTATCCAGTGGTAAGCGTGTCTCTAGTGTTGCTCTTTCTATATACTGTATACAGTAATACAAATATCAGACTTTTTTTAGAGTGAACACATGCAAATATAGCAATAAGATTTTAAATTTTATGCTGCAGAATGTTTAAAGATATACTACAGATTCTTCTATTTAGAAAATCCACAAGAAGACCATGGAGTTATTTTATTTCTAGTTTTTTTATTTTCTGAAGCTGAGATAATTTAGAAAAATTTGTGATATGAACACATACTCAGTCTACAAAATCACAGGATATAAAATCAATTTACATTAAAAAGATTGTTTGCAAACTTAAAGACAATGAGGAAATCATCTAAGCCTGTGAGCTCTGCTTGAAATGTTAGATGACAATGTAGGGGGTTTGAATGAATGATGATAGGTTAACAAACGAAAAGATGTTTGAGGCATGTGTGTGTAAAAAGCAGGTTTTACTGTTCATTCATCCACTTAAAATGTTTGAGGGGTGTGGATAGTGTCTCAGGTCCCAAGACAGCCTCTAACCCTAATTGTAATGCAAGCACAAGCCATTACCCTAAAGTCCAATACATATATTAGATACAGACTGCAGAGCCAAAATTACTTGGATGGGCTTTTAAGCAGATGGATTGCCGACCTCAGGGTAAGAAGAGGTCATTTAGCCCGTCCAACTTGTTTGTGACCAAATTGATCGAATAAACTTATTGAGCTGTTTCATGAAGCTTAAACAATATAGCTAGGCAGCTTATTTAAGACACCACCAGTATATTTGGAATGAAATGCCTCATGTTCTCAGTTTTAAATGCGTTACCTTGTAGTTTCTGTTTGTGTGCTTTGGTTGATTCTGAAGACGTGCATTGGACTGACCTTCAACACTAAATATATGCAGTTCTTTCAGCCTGTAGGTGTAGAACATTCCTTCAAGCCAGGAAAAGTATTAGGAACTAAAAACTGGAGAATTTAAAAGGGGGAATCCACTAATCCAGTCAGCTCAACATGAACAGTATATGCTGTATAGCAATGGACTAAGGTCCATCATTAGTGACAAAATTAGAACAATATTTGTATAGTAGCCAGTGGTATTACTGGGGTTAGTGTAGCATGGAATCCATAGTAGGAAACCTGCTTAACATATTCTGTAGATAATTTCAAAAGGCTCCAGTAATAGTTATGGTAAAAGGAGTATTATATGAACATGAGAATGGGTGGGTGGAGTTCCACAGGGCTCAGTACTAGGGCCAAGTTTCATTCTCATATGCAATACATAAAGTATATGGAATACATCTGGATTTTAGTTATACTATACTAGTTGAGGTTTCTGTTTACAGAAATATTGGGGGAATACCTCCAACTGTAAGGCAATTGGATGGAAAGAATGAGATTTACAAGAATTCAGAGATGATTAGATATGTGACAGCAGAGTAGAGCTTTGATGGCATGAATGCTTGTTCTATCCTAGAAGCACAGGGTGCAAGACAGGACTAGACCCAGGACCGGCCCATCAAAGGGCACACACATACTGTACTCTCAAACACACATGAACAACTTACCTTATGAAGGCATGCATGGAGAAAACTATAGCACCCGGAAAAATCCATGCAAATATAGAAGGAACACGTAAACTTCACACAGAAGGCATTCCATTCAGGAATCAAACCCTTCACTGAAGAGTTATAGCCTCTTTGACCTGTTTCCTTAAATAACATTTGTTCTGTTCCTATGTTTGTTAAATTTTTATATCAGTTTAATGATATTGAAGGAGTTAAATAAAGTGAAGAAAAACATTTTCATCCAGAATGTGCCCTGAGACTGTCTGATTGTAGCCCATCTGCACTTATTATAGCTCACTTTCCTATGGTGCATTAGTGTCGAAAGCTTTTGCATTTCTGAAAACTTTCATATAGAGCTAATTTATTGGATAATGTGTTTTTTTTTATTTAAAACAAAGCTAGAATGAGCTTGATTGATAGCTGGAGGTGATGAAAAGATAAGATATCATGTAAAATCCAGAGAGACTTGAAATTAAAATAAATTCCCTTGGTGATACGTTCTCTAAGTAAGAGTGCTATTGCAGTGATCATGAAATAACCCTTAATAACCCATGATGTTGTTTAGCTATTAAACACAGAAAAGTTGCCGACAAGCAGGTTCATGCTGTTTCTTATTGTGTGGGCTGAGAGCTGCAATTTATAGGACTGAGCTGTTCAACAGTACTTATTTTATTTTTATATATGACATCTACAAACTGCAAGTTATGTAAAGAAATGAAGACTGAAAAGTATCATAACAAAAAAAACAAGACTCAAATTACCTTCCTCTGCTATAATAAACCTACAAAAAGGATATGCTTTTCCCCAAATAAATCCAGGTGCTAGGTGAAATAACCTTTTTATTTGTATTAATATCCTTAATAACTGCTGGGAAATTTCAATGATTTATATATATTACGTATTTCTCCTGGGTATGGTGTAGTCAACACTAGTTGCATGGCTGTGCACACCTGGGTTAGTATCCACCTCCATTAATAGTGGAATAAATATCTGTTTCTCATTAATGGACACTCTACATACTGTACGTCACTGGTATCACATAACCACAAAACTAAGAGAGCTCCTAGAAATTGAATTGGATCTAGAAGTGAATCAGCAGGGATGTTATAACACATTGCAATGAGTGTTGTACTTCCTCCAATAGTCTGTTGCTATTTTTAGTGTCTGTTTTACAGTTCATTTCTATTTTATAGATTACTTAATTGACTGAGGATGGTTATCTATAATCTATATGCATGTACAGCCTTTAATCTATACAGTATTGTATATACAGTACTGTAAATCATTTAATTGTGAGAATTTCCTTTATCCTAAGTATTGATTAAATGTTTAGGATTGGATGCAGAATAAAGTTGAAATAAATGACAGGGTCCTGGAGTAACACTGTCTTCTGATTTTTGCTCCAGCTGAATCTGACAATGTTTTATTTTGTGTCATTGTACACTGGTGCACATGAACATGGTTTGGTATTTGGAGCTTATTCGAGCCAATTGATTAAAAATGGTTTGATGTAAAAAAAATGATCTTGCACATCATTCTAAAAACTTATTTGGGTATAAAGACAGAGATTTAACCTGGTATTGGCATGAGAATACATTGTGTTTCTTCTGCATGTTCAAACCTCGGAAAGAAT